ATATATATGTTTATTAATGATCATTACCTACTGAATGATATGATTGATGTCAAAAATCACCCCATCACTAATTTAGTCTATTAAAATTATTCAAGACTATGAGAGGAAACAGTAGAATGATTATATTGCATTCTAATCAATTGTATACATCTAGCATTCTGATAAGATATAGATAAATCAAATTTCAAATCTGTCTATAAAATATTCTAATGTCTAACTGTCAAATTTATCGGAGGTTCTTTTTTTCTTTACATTTAAGTGATATGATATATACTTATGGTTGTGTGAATATGAGCAAGAGAACGAATTGATGTATCTGTGAGGCCTGGTTTTCCAAAATAGTATAAATATTACATTGAAAATAATTATAATTATTTTAAATAAATATATTGAGAAATCTTTTAAAACTTAATTACATAAAAGTTATGCCCCCAAATGTCCTGGTACGGCCGGAGTGGGGAGAGTCAGCTTTCCTTCTCGAAATGCTCTCACGTGGCAACGTGCATACAACCACTGTCAGGGATGTCTTACTCACTGTTTTCTCGCGGCAGGGGTGTTGCTTACGAAATTAACAGGATGAAAAGCGAATGTCCGAAGCTTTAAACGGGTTGGTGGATAATGAGGATCCACATACGGGTGTTGGAAAACCCTGATTCGAGACCAAAAATGCACATAGGCTCAGTTTCCTGAGGTAACAAATGGCGTATGAACTAGTTGTTGGTCACCGGCTACCATGGGACTGCATCTCCTGACGTTGCTCCACTGCTTTGTGGGTTAGACCTTTAGGTCGAAGGCTCCGGGTGTTGCCCCCTAAGGAAACCACATTCTTCGGTTTGGGCATTCGGGCAATATACCAGCCCTCACACAAATCGAATAATTTATGTAGTACATATCTGTTTGCTGCCTACTTGTATCTATGTTTATGTGTTTGAATAAATAAAATAAATATGCCCGGTAATTACTTGATTGAGAATCATAGAAGTAACATTCAGGATTGAGTGATAATTAAGTAGATGGAGATGTTAATATTTTGTACAACTAACCAATTAAAATATATGACATGAATCGGAGAGCAGATTAACCAAAATTGTTAAACGCTGATCTTGTTGATATGTAAGTAATAAGTATTCTTAATAGTTGAGATCATGAGTCAATTGAAGCTAGACCACCATGGAAAACCTCGAAGCACTGGACGACCGTTTCGTACTTCTGATACCAATCAACATATGCTCAAGAGGTATATTCTGGAGTTCTAGTGATAAGCAGTGACCAGTGGAGTTCAACCTGGTCAGCTGTGAGATAGTAACTCACTGAAAACAATGGTGGATGTGTTGCTCAATTTCGTGGATTAGTTGAAGTTAGAGATTGACACCGTTGGATGCCGGCCAGCTCAGTGGCCTAGAGGTTAAGCGCGTGGCTGGTAGGTCTTGGGTTCGAATCTCGTGAGGCGGGACTGTGGATGGACACTGTTGAGGAGTCTCACATAGGACGAAACGACTGTACAGTGTCTCGAGGTTTTCCGTGGTAGAGCAGATTACTTGGTGATAACAGTCTTAGAAAAGTTTTCCTTTTTAATGTTCCCTTATTAAATTCGTTACTTCAAAGTTTAGTTATTATCTAAGGGAAATGAAACAACGTGGATCGAACTATATGTATCATGGGTACTAATAAATGACAGTTTGAAAATCGTCTTATTCTTTTTTGTCATTTGAAAATATTCTCTTCTTAGTAGATAACAGTGATTTAAAAATAAACCGGACTTCCAAATATATACTAAACATGAACAGTTGATAAAAATGAAATTTAGCTAAGAGCTAATATACTAATTAAAACGGATTATGTTTACTGCAAATAATACTCAACAAAAATAGGAAGGTGTATTGAAGTGATGTGATTTATCTTTCATAGGATATTTTGACTGAGATCATGAACCGATCGACGTTAAACCACCATTGAAAACCTGGACGCATTGAATGGCCGTTTCACCCTATTGTGGGACTCCTCAGCAGCGTGTATCCATGATCCCGCCCGAGAGATTCGAACCCAGGGCCTTTGGTCTCGGACCACTGAGTCGGCTTCCAACGGTGTTATTGTCTAACTTCAACCAGTTCAGAGGAGTTGTCAACAATGTTTTATACACAAACATTGGGGTATTACCATTTGTCCATTTGAATTTTTTACATTTTAATTAGACTTTCAGTAACAATAAGACACGTCATAGTTAAAATTAAACGAAACGAACATTAAACAGATTCCCAATTACTGAATAATATACAGTCTTAAAAGGGAACAAATTACCACTATTTTTCATACAGAATCTGGTGTTTGTTTCTATTGAGTTATTTGTTGTCGACCAGTAAATATGATGTTGAATTCAAATGGAATCACATATGGTGGTATTCAACGTTGACTTTTTTATTTATACCTGGAAATTATTACTGTTTTGTTTAAGTTTTAACTCCTCCTGGAGCCCCTCTTGGGCCACTGACGGTCCCAATCCCGGATAAAGAAGGAGGGTTGGACATGGGATTGGCGATTCCATCCTTCAGAAAACTAACTCAATAAAAAACGTTAATCAGAAAAAATAATTCAAGCCATTTAAACTATACCCTGGGAGCTAGGTCTTCATTTAGAAGAGTGGTGAAAGCCGTGTTCCTTCGGAAGTCACGATGCTGATGCCCCTTATGACAACCAGAGCAACCATTAATTTAAGTAATTATTCAAGTTGTGATCACAAATATTTGGTGTTCAAGAATGATGTGTTAAATGTAATAAAAAGATAAGATAGGACGAAACGGCTGTCCAGTGCTTTCAGGTTTTCAATGATGGTCTAACATCAATCGATTCATGATCTTAATAACATGATAATCTCCATAACCTTATACTGAAGATGTCATGTCACTGAAAAGTATACATTGAATTTCAAATGAACAGAACATAGAAGTACTAGTAGTAGTAGCAGTAGAAAATAGTGAATTATTTCTGCTGAGGTAATCAGAATCAGGAAAGCGGACTAGTTTTTTTCCTCAGAATTCATAGAGTAATCCCAAGTTTTAAGACTGTTATCAGAAAACTTTCTACTGTTGTTGTATCCGTCAGTTTAATTCAGTTTTGTTTGCCATTTCTTCACCGAGTAAATGTCGCGAATTGAAGTGGAACATTCTTTAGGGATTCCATTTTAACTTTTAAAGTTGATGTATTTTTCATCTGGTTGTTGAACGTTGCATACAAACTCAGCCCTTGAGATGGTGAAGAAGATTTGTAGCTCAGGTGGGTGATTTTGATAGGGTTTGTTCTCTGAGCTGGATGGTTTGGTCGTGGGGCCTTCATCTTTCTTCTGAACGACATCATCAGCACAAACTACAGGTAGAAGTGAAGCGTTCGAATTTCTCCACATGTAGGTCACAGCTTGTCCTGTAGATCATACAAGGGACTGAAACCCAGGACCTTCAGTATTAGACAAACGCTCAACCTCTGCATCACTGAGTCGGCACCTAACGGTGCTAATGTTTAACTTCAAACAATCCGCAATATTGCGCGACCATCTTTTGCTGTTTTCGATGAATAATTGCTCGACACAGTCAGACTCTATTAACCAAGGCTTCCCAATAGAACTCCGAGAATCTCCTCACGAAACTAGTCACAAGTTAGTACATGGCAATTGCAAGCATACAGTTGTAGAGATCGTTGACTTTTTTTGTTTCACATGCCACCAAATCATTAGACAATCATACAACTTGCTTGATTGATGTGTTATTCATACGATTTTGAATTTTCTAGTTACAGACTTTCAGGACTGTTATTAATCAATTTTCCTGTTATCATATTGGTTTCTTGAGAAAATACCTTGATGTTTTATGTAAATTCTAATTAATTATACAGGTGGTTAAAGTAACTAGTACTAGTTCTGAATTTGAGTGTTTGAGAATCAACGTTGGGAATAGTCTCAAATAGGATAAAACATCCATCCTAGGTCGTTATTATCGCTCAGTTTTCTGTAGTCAGCTTACCATTAAAAAAAAGCAACAGTTTTTAAGTTAAACGGGTATTAGGATAAAAAATAGAAACTGATGTTCTGTGCGAACTGACTGTAGGACAGTTTAATAATAATAACAATATTAACTCTGCACTTGTCCCAATTAGATGGTTTATTTTTTACAAACAGCGTAGACTGTATGTGAGACTTAGCCTACCAATGATTAAAATTCCAGGTTCACGATAAGAACTTTGGGTATTTCAGTTGACGGAATACGTTATTTATTTGGCCGGTCAAGAGTTTGTTAGGACCAAAGAATAACGTCTTGAATAATCTGTATATTAATTTCTGGCTATTAAAAAACAATTCAAAGCCAATGATCATTTCTTATAGTTGTGAAACTGTACAAATGCTGCTTTCCTTAACAATCATTTTTACCTCAGACCATCACAAATACCCGATATATGAAAATTATAACTTCTATATGTTGTTTCGAATTATCTTAGATTGTATTATCTTCAAAATTATTGGATCTACGTTTTACAGTAATTTTAGATCATTGATTAGTTGTAACTGGAAAACGTTTAAAATACGAAAACAAAATCAACAGCTGTATCTTCCTAGTTTGTGGTTTGCATTTAGTATCCATTTAAAAATATAAAATCGGAGCATCACAATACTCGCGATACCACTCTAACCCTGAGTTAATATTTATCAGTTCAAAGTTTTAAATTTTAAGTGATTTTCACCATGACAAGATCACCATACGTTGTCAATTATGGTGTCGAAGTTCAAATGCTGTCGTATATTATGTCTATGCAATAAGTAATTTATTATTTAATGGCAAGTGTTACCCATTTTTACTTCATTCGAAATCAAAGTAATATTCGGCGGAAAGAAAAAAAAAATCAGTGTATTCAGACAAAGAATGAATAATTTTATTCAGATATTTGGTAAAATGATGAACAGAGCCGAGAAGCATATAAGTTCACAATCTGATGAATCACTAGTGTTTTAGTTTTTTCTAATGAAGACTCGCCATCATCATCATCATCATCATCATCATCATCATCATCATCATCATCATCATCATCATCATCATCATCATCATCATCATCATCATCATCATCATCATCATCATCATCATCATCATCATCATCATCATCATCATCATCATCATCATCATCATCATCATCATCATCATCATCATCATCATCATCATCATCATCATCATCATCATCATCATCATCATCATCATGTTTCAAGGTATAAAAAATCATAGACTTATAAATAAAAGGTTCTACACATTTTTATTTGGAAAAGAATATTACTGAATACAAAAGTAAAACAGCAGGAAGACACAAGACATGATATTAAACACTGTAGATACTTAGCAATCTCGACTTTGTTGTTGATTGTTATGTCTGAGGAACCAAATATCGTGCTGTTATTGTGTGTTCTAATTTAATCTCTACTTTCTTTTTCATTAAATACGATAAACCGTTTGGTCTAATGATGAAATTATTGCTGAGATAAAAGTATACTTTACATGAAAGTCACTATTTTTGTTGAAGAAGCTGTATCATCCAATTCGTCCTGAACTACTTCACCAATTTTGGCATGATTCAACAAGTTCAATCATTTTTAACAAAGAAGGATCTATAATACACAGATGGAATTCGTTGAATCAAAATCATTTACAAAGATGAAGTGATAAGTAATTGTTTTATTTAATGTTGATATTCAGAATCTGAATCCAAATTTTCGGTAATCTAATTAATTTATAGATGTATGTTGACATTCAGATGAGATACTTCTTAAAAAGTTCCTGAATTTACAAAAACAATCCTATTTTCTCTAGCCATATTATTATTATTCATTCCTGTTTCTAAACTTCTCTGTTACTATGATGAATCTTATCCTTAAACAACTGAGAACGACTAATGAAATTATCAGAAATTGTCAGAAATAATGTTATGATTCCAAAACTCACAAAACGTTATTTTATTCACTATCATAGTGATTACATGAACAATAATTTTTACTAGTTGAAATCATGAGTCGATTGAAGCCAGACCACCATGGAAAACCTGAAAGCAATGGACGGCTGTCCAGTGATTGAGCGCTCACGTACGAGGCCAATAAATCCTGAGTTCGAATCTCGCGAGGCAAGATCGTGGATGCGCACTGCTGAGGAGTCCCACTATTGGACGAAACGGACGTCTAGCGTTCCCCAGATTTTCCATGGTGGTCTAACTTCAATTGACTCATGATCTCAACTATTGAAATTACTATAATATCCACAAAAACCCCTTCTGATATTCATGAAATTATGTTGACATTTTTTGTAAATATTTACATGATAAATTAGTCTGAACTGGTGATTATTAAGTGTTAGCGTTGTTGAACTTATTTACTGAGAATTTTCAGGAAAATAAAACTCTTTTACAAAATAACAACCAACTTTGTTTGTTTAGTTTTTCAAGTGAATACAGTTATTATATTCTCCATGATATTTGATAAAGAGATTTGTGTTACATGAAGAATGATCTTGCAATGTGTACAGACATCAACTGAAGAACCATCAGAAAAGAAGAAACGCTTAGAAAATTTTTTTTATTGAGATCATGAATCGACTGATGTTAGACCACCATTAAAAACCTGGAGGTGCTGAAAGGTGGTTTCGTCCTATCGTGGGACTCCTCAGCAGTGCGCATCCCCAATTCCGCTCGCGAGACTCGAACCCACCACTAAGTCGGCATCCAGTGGTGTTAATGTCTAACCTCAACCAATCCACGAAATTGTCTCTACCCGACACGGATTAGTTCCACTGGTCGCGGCTTCTCACTAGAACTCCGAGAATTCCCTAACGAAGCTAGTCAGTAGTGATGAACATTGGTTAGGAGTCTTAAAATAGAATCAAAGTATATTCACTCAGTGATTTGTATGCAGTTTATGAAGTAAAATATCTCTAAAATACTAAGGTGAATTTGATTTCAATTTCAGTGAAACTTATGGAATTCTCTACATATTGATATTATAGTATCTATGAATAGTGTGAATATCGATCACAGAAAATACTGATTTTTACAAGTAACTTTAAAATTTTGGACAAGTCGGTATCAAATCGATTTTAGTAAATGGATGCTGTATTGGAGTGTCACTAAATAACTAAGATAAATGGATATCTAATCTACTAGTTCCGAAAAGAACAAAGAGAGCCTATAATTAAATGTACCGAAAGCTTGTAATTGAAATGAAAAATCAAAGCACCCTCTCTGGAAAGGCATACCCCAATATAAATCTTTACAAGGAGTATAATGTAGATCTATTCACTGAAATTCCTAAACTAAATTAACAAGATCAAGATTTAGGGGATTGATACTCTTCAAATTAAACAAAATCTCTGAAAAACGACATAAATCAATATCTTTTGAAAACGTGTTTCCTTTTCATTTGAGTTATTTAAACACGAATTCATGTGTAGTGGTAAAATAGATACTCTTCAATAAGAAATAATGTCACATAAATGTTGTTAATTGTAATTGTCAATGTCAGCTAATTGGTAATATGTGTAAATGATATACGTAGTACAGGATATTAATGAATGATTGTTTCATCTTAATGTTGGACACCTCAGTAGACAATAACACCATTGGATGACGGCTTGGTGGTCTAGAGATTAAGCGTTCGCATGTGAGACCAATAGGTCCAGGATTCGAATATCTCTATATGTTTACTAAACAACTTTATTTCTCATCCGTACAACTTTTGTTTCTTACTAAATTTCCGGATGAATTACTGTGTTTATGATACATTTCAGGGTCAGCAATTCAAGTATTTATCAGTAACATTGATGCTTTATAAGACAATCATATTGTCTTTAAAAAGAAACAAATACAGTTGTACTAATTGTGAAAAATAATCTGAAAGATTGATTGAAATAAACAATCGAAGAAAGAGAGAATATCGACCATTTATCATTTATAGGATGAAAATTACCCTAAGGGGGGGGGTGGCAAAGCGAAAGTATACTGTCTGTATAAGAACAATGTAACTAACATAAACAATCATCACCATGTTTAAAACATTTTCATAGATTTAGATACGGCATTGTAGTTATCGACAAAAGTCAGTCAGTATCAGATGAAGATGACATTGATATTACTACATGGTTATGATCCTTAAGAAGTTGAGTAACTTCACTTGATTTACAGATTACATAATACAGTTCATGCAAAAAAAAGTTTTATTATTTTTCTAACGAAATTATCTTCAGTTACCAATTGAACATAAAATAATGAACAAATTGGTGCTCTATCTAAATTTGAAACTTGATAAATCTGAGCATTTTTCTCTTTAGTGGTCAACTACTGTTGTTTGAAAGTATATTTTATTGTTGAATAGATGGAGATGATTGGTAGGGAATCTTTGATTTAGATTCCTAATTAGTTGAATAGTTATCAAAAAAGTGTAACCACTATTTAAAGTGTACACATTTTATAATGTTCTCATACTAGTATTACCTTATAGCTGGAATCAAGTATATTGATTAAAGTCTAAGGTTTTTAGTGACTTGCTCCTAATCATTGAGCAAAATGGATCATCATAATAGCCTCATTGGCAACACTAAAAACTTAACAGTGAAAAATCCTTTATGAGGTCTTTGGACTGAATGATACAACATTGGTTTTTAAAATTGACCAAGAATGATAATATTTTATTATTTGCTAATAATATAACAAATAAAACTTAAGATTCAATGGTATAATACATTTATATATACTACTTAATACCACCAGAGATACTACTCACAATAAATATCAATTGTTGACTTACATTTAGGTCAGTGTTTTATTCATAATTATGATTTCCAGATTTGAATAAAAAAGAATCTGATCTCAAGAATTGGGTTTGAATAAAATAGTCACTTTTTTTTGTAAATACTAAGAAGTAGTTAAATTGAGCGATAAACTGGGATTGAAAATAAGGGTGTAGTGAGTAATCATTGCCTATATATATATATAACGCATCTCATTTAATGAAGGGAAATGTTATACCTGTTTCAAAAAAAAATTAATTTTACAAAAGTCTTGATCTTATTCATTCATACATCCCTGTCAGAATTTTCTTGTTTGTATCTATGTATGTATGTATGTGTATGTGAATATGAATAATTATACAACTTGTAATGTAACGTAATACCACACCTGTCTATCGGTCTTTACTTATATGTGTGCATGTATGATTTCATATATATATATATATACCTATGGATACCACTGAGACATAGGATATCAACTCATCTTAAGATATGATAATTTTGATGTGCGTAGGTGAAAATTATCTTCAATGTATATAGAGATATATACATATATCATGTGGCAGAAAATTTTACAATCAGTAATTTTTTCTTACTTTCTGTCTCCTGGAAAAAATGCTCATCCCCTGTCTGAAAGTCTCATCTTCAATGAGCCCTCATACAAATATGCCTCCAGTTACATATATATGTAATTCATCCTTTCACAGATATACAATGTTCATTAATGCTCACATATAGGCATAGACGTACATACACACACACACGTCGGAGTGTTTTATATCATATAACTTTAGATATTTGTTTGTATGCTTAAGTGAATGTGAATAAGTTTGGTGAAAATGAGGAAATAGGGTTAGTAGGTAAATTTTTTCTAATATTTCTCTCTTCTATAGATAATGAGTGTACATATATGTCCGCCATTATAATTAACCTTATATCTAGATGGACCTGGTATGTCTACGTACTATACTGTATTATCTTACTCCTCATAAACAAACTCATTTACTGACTTCAAAATCTGAAATTTCAAACTCTTTCAATTATCTATTAAAAGTAAGCGAATCATCATCGACAGTAGCAGATCTAACTTTCATCGACATCGTAGACTAACTGTAAAGAAACAATCACTGAAGAGCTGTGTGAGTCAATTGCTGCCTTATCAAGTTCTTGATAGATTCCAATCGCACATAATAACAGTTATCATAAACCAAACTCCATCAAGTGTCAAGACGCAACATATAAACTAATGACAAATAGGACAAACTGAATGCTACTAAATTAGGACTATTTTGTCATCAGTATTTTTAGTCGAGGGTTTTTTAATAGATCTGATTCTGCTAATGTTTGTTCTTGTTTTCAATCTCCAATCAATTCATTTAATCACTTTTTCTTCATGGATTAAAGCTTCCAAATGGAATTCTCTCCTTTATTTCACA